CTTTTCACCTTTGATGACTGCCCCTTTTCAGGCCGGGTGTGAGAATTGCTCCATTTTCACCTCTGATAATTACTTTTTTTACTTTGACTTGTGTTCTACATCTTTTCTAATAAGTGTCTTTATCTGATAATGTATAATCACAATTTAGGGGTATATACCAATGTCTGAAAAATGGTTTTACTTTTGCTTGGAGATTTCCCTTCGTAGGTGCCCTTTCTTCTCCAGAAAATGCCCTTTTTGGAATATGCTCAGCCGCCCCTGCTACTCATATTACTACAACTACTACTATACTTCTACTACTACTACTACTACTACTACTACTACTACTACTACTACTACTACTACTACTACTACTACTACTCCTTCTACTACTGCTTCTACTACTACTTCTACTACTATTTTGTAGAGGTTTATGCTTATACGGCAACCGTAGGGGCGAAACTCAGTCACGTCTCAGTTTAGAATGTTGCCATGAAAGATCGGTCTCCAGCTATTTGAAGAAAAGAAATAATCGCATACTCTTTTCTGTCATTCTAGCATCGCCTAAAAAAAAAATCAAACAAAGCAAAAAAATTATTCCTCCACACTTCCATTCAACGTCAAGCCCTCATGTATGTCAATAAGATTTAGTCCGTAATCACACTTTTATCACAAAAACGGTCGGAAAGACTCCCGGAACATAATCTCACGGGCAATTTCAATTTCCTGTTGTGTATCCCATACATTGTGTTACGTAATTCGTCATTGGTATGCAGGCATATATCACTAGGTGACGGACAAGGATAATGAAACTGCCTTAGAATCATTTTTCGAAAGTCTTTGCGACCATGTTTTTTATTTACAGGACATGGGAGGGTTGTTCTCAACTTCTCACTAACGCCATTTGAGTGTCACATCGTTTTAGAGACCACAGCTTTTAACACAATCATTAACACCTTTTTTCTCTCTCTTTAATTTTTGTTTTTCTTACCAAACCGTTTCAATTGAGTCTTTCCGCTTTCACATTATCCAACGTGCCACAACAATTGCCCTTTAATGACAAGCTGGAGACGAGGTTGCTAAATAATGATATCATTCAAAGGAAAAGACAGTCAAGTTGTTCATTGTTATTAAATTAAGATATTGTTCTTTTATTGTGAAATATAACGGTAAATGTAATACACTTCACGTATGAGGAAACGTAAACTTTGACGTGTTCTGAGTGCCCTAAAATTAAACAGAAATGTTAAAAGATAATTGAAACAAAGTCACATAAAATAATGAAGAGATCGAATTGATAATGAGTTAGTAACCATCTGAACCATAACATGAATGAAGATAAGAATGTATATCTGTGATCTTGTTATATGACAAGATACGATTACAATTAGTGTTACTGTTGATGTCAATGATGTTAACTAGCTATCTCTTCACTTACATAAGTATATCGCGATAGACATTTATAATTCTTTCTTTCAATCCCACTACGTCAGTCAAACCACTATAAACCAACTCCACATCGACTCTAAACCGACCCATTATGGCCATTGAGAGTAATTTAACTGTTTGTTCGGTCGGTAGTCGGTCTGGTGTTGGTCTCGCTGGTGTGACTGAGGCATCAGGCTACATACAACGAAAACAAATCAGATGAAAAAGTAATTCAAATAGTGAATGAACATGTAATAAAACCAAAAGTGCAAAGTTGATTGTGAAGTACCGTGATGTATCGTTTTCGATGCATGCCTTTGTGTTGGAACTGCAAGTGTGGTAATTAATGTTTGTGGCATCTTTTTTACGTCACAAAATGATCAGGATTAAACAAATACGAATAGATTGATATAAAAACAGGGGAAAAATACAAAGAATGGTATAATTATATCATACTTAGCAATAAAAATGATATTCTGCTATACATGGTTGCTTAATGGAAGCTATGTGTTATGTGTACTGATAATCTTACTACATATTTTCAACTGCAATATCAAGTGAACAACAAAAGTGTTTTTATTTCTCCTTATTTGGGTGACAAATTAGTTTCATTACCAATTTTATAATTTCATCATGCTGCGTACTTATTCTATTCATTTTATTTCAATAATATCCATTTGAATTCTCTTCATTATCAATAATCAATACAATAGTCGGTAATTTCTTCTACGCTCCGTCTACCATCAATATCACCTACACCACCATCATTCTCGTTCACCTCTTCGTGGTCATCCTCATCATAAACATAACACCATCATCATCGCCACCATCATCACCTTAATCATCATCACCACCGCCATCACAATCACCACCATCATCATCACCACCACCACCATAACCACCACCATCATCACCACCGCCGCCGCCACTATCATCATCACCATCATCACCGCCACCATCATCATCACCATCACCACCATCATCATCACCACCACCACCATAACCACCACCATCATCACCACCACCGCCGCCACTATCATCACCATCATCATCACCGCCACCATCATCATCACCATCACCACCATCATCACCACCACCGCCACCACCATCATCCAATCATCTTCATCATTGGGAGTCCTTTCTTAATATCTTCTTGCAGTCGGTCGTTCTAATTCTGTTAAAAAGTTTTAAAACCCTAAAATAAGGGGGAGCAGATTCCTCTAAGATAATGTGACACCATGTATCCTTGCTTCGTGTGGTGTCCCTTTCATCCTAGGGTACAATCGATGATCCTTACCCTAGGTATAGCTGACCTTGCAGCTGTAAACATCTCCTTTTCCACTGAGAACCTCAAGAGCATCACTTCTGTGTTAAAACACATATAGGTATCGCCCCTCTGGCTCTCAAACGACAAGATGTTCAATTATAATTACATTACCCTGATTTACACAATCAAGTGGTTCAAAACATGAAGCATTAGTAACTAAATACAAATTCAAATCTAAAAGTCTGTAAAAACGTATTCCATCAATTGTTATCTTCCTTTGTAAAATTGATATCCCAAATTCTGATATTTACTTGACTTAAGTAACAAATATCAAAATGATTAATCATCTTTATGACAAAGTTTCTTTTTTCAACTTGATGTTAGTGTCTGTGTTATGAGAAAAATATCTAAGATATACAGACACGTCAAATTGTGTACGAAAAACACATGGATGAAGAGGCGGGGAATAAAGGAGTAAGGGACGTTATGAAATTTCATAAATGTTACTATAATATTGAGGAATGCATATACATGTACGTATGTACTACATGGGACCTATCATCTTTTCCCCAACGTATAAACCATCTATACACTTAACAGAGAGAAATCAAGTTTTTGTGAGTGTTTCATCAATTTCAACATGTTCAACGTCGTCTATATACGCACGCCATGATGGAACACACAACGTTACAATTAACTGCGCAGTCTTTAAACAAAAATCATTGTTACATCAATGGCTGTCACACACTTTGGTTAAACATTGAGACACAATCATAAATGATTCCATTATATTGATACATATATCAGTTACACCGTCAACCCGACTCCGAACCGACTCCAAATCGACCGACTCTTGGTCATTACGACTAATTATAAGTTACAAGCCACAAAGTTGAAGAATCAAAATATCCACGTTCACTAAGATGAAAAAAGGATGTACAAAAAAAAACTTGCTGAGAGCGCCAGAGAGGTTTATCTTACAGGAACAAGCAAACACCCTTTCGTATGTACAACACATGCTCCGACAGCCATTGCTTTGCAAACAATTCCTATATAGTACAAATCGAATTCCTAACTTAAAGGTACTACAGTGTATGTCCCATTTGCTGGCCAAAAAATGAAAAGGTTAAATTCCGATGGCATTTGAAAGTAAATACATTTAGAACTTTCCTTAAAAAAAAAATTTAAAAAAGGGGGGGGGGGGGGGGCTTGAAAATGTCTTTAAATGGGAAATAACGACTATTAGTTGTCAAATCGACTTACGAGCTATAGAGCCAGTAAGTAATAGTCTGATTTTCAGACCATTGTACCGAATGGTCATACGTTTTATGCTGCGCAAAGATTCAATCAGTTTAATTTTGGCCATGACAAGAAGTGGTTTATTGATGTAGACAAATGCTCATGTACCCTTTACAGCTCATGTAATGTATGTTATTACCAAAGAAGAAAAAAGCCAGTCAGTTACTCAATAGTGTCTAACAGCGAAGTCTAGCAAGTAAATGGGTTTCCTTGCATAATTTGAATATTAGAACACTGCTAACGTTTAAATTTCACAGATAGGACATACATGACATATTCATAATTCCTGCAAAGTTCTACATAATTTGATGTTGGCTGCAAAAGGGACATAGTATATTTAAACCCTTGATCGAGCTAACCCTACATCTAACCTGAAACCAAGTTATAACCTTATACCTTGGAGGAAATTAAGTACGTGGTGGGCAAAAGTCGCCCGAGCAAATGTGGCTGGAACAAAATTAATGTTGTGTCATCTCACTGGTTCCCAGCAGATGAATTATCACATGTATGCTTACAAAAATCCTTGAACATAACATTAAAATCACGAACTTTCACAACAAATACCGATTATTCCTTTACTTGTATTGAAGTAGAGGATCGAATTATATAGTGAGGTCTTCATTAATTACTGTAATTACTTTATACTTTTGATATAAAAACCATAACATCCAATCATCCATCACAACGAAGATATAATGTACATCTATACTTACAATTATCATGATTTTACACATACAATTTGATCTTTTATCAACATCAATCTACGTTACTTTGCACCATTCTTAAAGTTATAACATGAAATGTTGCAAATTGAGAATTTTGTTAACAGTATAAAAATATAATATTTGGAAGCATTAATACCGTTAGAGACAACATGATAATCAAACGTACAAAATAAAGATTGATACAAACTAAATTTTAATAAAAAACTATAGGTGTTGTGCATAATATTCAACTAAGGGTGAATCACTTGATTTTAAGTCATGCTCCAGCTATTAAACGCACCTCTCTTCCCCCAGTTCCTTTCTTTTAGGCACTGGACCGTCTTGCATAAAAAGTAGCGAATAATTATACGATTACGCGATTCCAAAATGATACGTAATTGACATCCACTAATCAGAATCGCATGTTTAGGACTTGGTTTAAGTTGGGAGTTTACTGTCAACCAGTCACGATCGCATATAGGACGCGGGTTCGAGTTTGAATTTAAATGTCAACCAATCAGAATCGCATACTTTTTATGCAAGACAGCCAATCCAGCATTTTCTATAAAGATAACAATAAAAATGTGGTTGTTCTTCATGACTAATTGACTCTTTATATTCGTGTCTTATAATAGTTCATGGATTATGAATTTATTTCGCATCGCGTATATATTCTGCGCACTTTGTTTGAATACTAGAATAATCATGAATGTGCTCTAAGTATGAGACGATTCATATGTATATTTTGATATCAATGAGAAAAATAGACCAACGGCAATCGCAAAAGACAGCATTTCCATCAAGAAAAGGAGCTTTGCAAAGAAATTAACAGATTTGATTGAATCTCATTATAAGAGATAAAATGCCGAGGTAGTCCTGAAAAGGATAATTGAATAAAAAACATGAAGTAATACGATTTTTTTAGTGTCATATTTTAGGTAAGTTAGCCACCTTTTCGCAGTCTACCTAATTTACCTTTAATGCCTATCAATCAATAAATTCTGTATCTTATTAATTCAATTTTGTGACATTTTACTTTAATAAGAGCCCCCATTCTTATGATGAGGCATATATAAACCGGTTTTAATTTAGGGGAATTTAAACATTATTTTTAAGTGATGTTTGATCCCCGTTAATTTTCTTCAAATATGTGACATTGCTCCAATAATGTATCCCTACATTGTTTGTATTCTTGCTCGTGCTGCCGCCATAAGAAAGGCTGATATTGATTTTGAAGTAAAATATCACCTTGTACATGTACATATTTATATGGGGATAGAAAGTGTTAGTTCATTCATCATGAATTTTACAGACTGAGAGCCTTGGCCATGTGATCACGCTTTCGCTTTCTCTTCCTCTTCTTTTTCTAGCTCCTCCTCTTCCTCTTCCTCTCTCGTCTTATTGGTTCTTTGGGCGGGCTCGTGGTAGCCGTAGGCGGGACGACAACACCAGTTAGCCAATAGGCACATTGTTAGGATCATCAGCACCAAAAGGACGGGTACCGCCGCCCCATACACCAACCTCGACGAGACACTCGGCCCGTTGGCTATCGCCACATGGACCTCGTTGACCAGCGTGTCGATGCCCGCGCCCGTGGTCGTCTTGCGTTGCGCGATGTCGGTGATGGTGGTGGTCGGCACAATGGTGAAGGAATCGTTAATTTGAACAGCGCCAGCTTGCGGCGTGGGCGTGGAAACTATCTTCCCAACTAAGGCTCGATCGCCGATACCGTTCAGTCGGACGAGTTCAATATCAGAAATGACTCTCTCCACTGTTTCCCCAATTGAGATGTATAACTGTTGACCAAAGAAAAGAAAAGAAAGATCAGGGAAATCAATATTTATAAAATTACTTCAGAAATTATTCTTTGATCATGTTCAGTACTGTAGTAGTAGTTTAGGTTCCAAGTTTTATTTCAATTCAAATCCATAAAAACACATTTTATGAAAGTATAAAATACAGATTAAATACAATATAGAAAACAGAGAACTCGCAAAAATGGAAACATGTTTACAGATATACCAGAATTATAAAAAATGTAATCAATAGAAATAAATTTGGGAAACTGCAAAATAAGTCCCTGTTATTAAAAGATACATACAGGTTCCAACAATTGCCTATAAAAGATATAACAATAACAAAACAGTGTACAAAACACGGTAGACGTATTTACATTCATATAATACTATTTGATTTTATTGAGTGTCCACCCCCTATTTTCACCTAAATATTTCGTTTTCAGAATAAATCTGTACAACGCATCCCGTTTTGGTAATTTCAGGACGAAAACAAAAGGATAAACGGTTCAGGATTTGACAAAAAATACACCAAGCTATTCTTTTTCATAATGGTGTGTTCACATGGCCAATGATGGCCTAGATAAGTCGATGGGTAAACGGTCATGTGACTTGTAAAATAAACATGGCGCCACTGATCACGTGACTAGAAAAAATGTTTTGGGCAATGAGAAGCAATCAGACATGTTCTAAGGGAACAAGCGGAAATTGTGCTTCTCTTCAAACACGACCGCCTAACAAACCAAACCCCGCCAATTTATTCCTCGGCTCATTTAATATTCTCACGTTCCGATATGTCTGGCACCCTGGAGGAATTTTAGTCTATTTCCAGAATTTTTTTCTTCTCTCTCTCTCTCTCTTTCACTCTCTTTACCTTGTTCATGCAAACGCCTCTCTTGCATTTCTTGCAATCCTCTTTATTCCTCGTCTCTCTTCTTCACTCTCTAACTTTAACATGATAGACGTCTCCCCATCTCTCTCTCTCTCTCTCTCTCTCTCTCTCTCTCTTTACCGTCTGTTTAGTCTCATTGTCTTTAGTTATGTAACGTTATCCCTCCGTTCTCTGTCACCCCTTCTCTACCCGTCTCGTCTTCTCTTCTTTCTCCGAGCTACTTTAATTTTGTTTCTCTTCATCATCTCCCTGTTCATCCCATCTTGTCCCTGTATCGCTATTCTTAACATGTTTAAAGTTATCTTACCCATTTCCATTTCACATATATTTACCTACCCCCTCTATCCCCTTCTCTCTCTCTCTCTCTCCCTCTCTCTCTCTCTCTCTCTCTCTCTCTCTCTCTCTCTCTCTCTCTCTCTCTCTCTATATATATATACCTCTCTCTCTCTTCTCTTTTAATTCCCTCTACATTCTCCGTACCTGTGCCTGCTAACACCTTTAATATCTTGTTTACAGAAATGTCCGTTTACCAAGGAAAATTATCTTAATTTGCAAAAATAAATAAATGTATAAATAAATTACGAAAAAAAGGAAAAAGGCTCGATCAATTAATATCTCCTCCTGATCTAAACAGACTGAACTTATAATTACCTCGTCATCGTAGAGACTGTAAAAGATGAGTACATTGTCATCACATCCGACATCATCGAACCACGAGACCCGGACATCCTGAGCAAAGTTCTTCGCTTTGGTTTTCATCGGCTCGAAATCACTGTTGGAAAGGGAAGACAACAGGTAAAACAAAATTAATTATGTTCGTAATCAGTAAAAACAATTAACAGATATGGGCAAGTCCACCGTGCATATATTATATCAAGAAAATCGAGGAATATTCTGAACGATTTTATGTCAGCTATGGTGCGTCAGGGTCGAGTGTTGATGGGAAGTCATGAATAGAACAAGACAAACAAAAATTCGAGGGAATATGAATGAATGGTCTGATTTCGTCCACAAGAGTTATAAATACTAGAAGAATGTCTGCAGTAGGTTTAGGCCTATGTGGGTAGGTCTGCTACCTAGTCAAGGGTTGAATGCAAGAATGATGATAGTATCATAATTGACAGTCTGTGGGATAATTGTCGTACAATGTTTGAGCGATAAACGTAAATTGATTGGGAGATTTTTGCGTGGCATTAGATCACTCAACCTTCTATACCTTGGATGACATTACTACAAAGTTCAGGAGTGCGTATACTGTTCATTGAGCATTGGAGTGGCGCCTATGTATGCACTAGCTCTCGTATTATCTACCGAAGATAACTTATTGCACATCTGGAGTATGCATCTTGTCAATCCACAGCCTCATTCAACAAAGAGACAACTCTTCCTACCGGCCTTCATGTTTGCTTATGATCACCCGGCTCTAATCGGTCTATATTCTGGCGGCGTAGCCTACAGGGGGTACCCATCCATGTGTTTTTGCCCCCTTCCCCTTTTTAAAACACCTTTTAAGTGCTACCGCATTGTGTTGGGCGGCTCTGGAGCTGACCTGCAACAACAACAACAACAACAACAAAAGGAGGGGAAAAAAGGGAGAGGGGTACTCATCCCGGTGAGACCGCATCCTTTGCAAGAAGTTGAAATAACATAATTAAATAGGCGTTATTTTATTTGTACTGGCTTTCATATGTGCTTGAATATCATCGGTCTCCTTTCGGGCTATATCTAGCACCGCGCGTGGTTGACACGACTGGGACACCCCCCCCCCCCAATCTCCCCACCCTTACTCGGCTCTCGATTCCACACATTTGAGACCTTTGTTGTCGCCTTTATATCTTCATGCTCTTCGAGGACAAAGTGTTACATGTTAGAGGTTGTTATCGGTGTTTAGATCAAATTAAGATTAATTTGTGCCTTTTTTAATAAACTGATTGTAGGGTAATTGTTGTCACCTGTGCAAAAGCAAGCCTCTTAAATAAGCTCGTTGTATAGAATTTGATCCATTCCATCAAATCATTTATATATTCTATTGCCAGGCAAAGAGATTAAAAAATAACGTATACAGGGACAGGTAAAGTAGACCAAAAAAAAAAAAAATAGTGCCCTTATATAATAAATAGCCCAACTACATAGTCGGTGGCTTACAAACATAAAACAAACATACATGAATTTAAAGCAACCTCAATTTTCGATTGATGTTTATGCGCTGATGATAAAAATGGAGAAATACAAAATATTCTTTAGAACAGAGGACGAGCGTAGGAATATCGGCACCTCACAGAAAAGAAGGGGAAAATCGAGGACGTGATAAGAAAGAAAAAATAAAATAATCAGAACGTTTATTGAAATACGAGTTGAAGAGGCAGATACAACATAATAGGAACAATCTGAAAATATGAGAGGATATAATTGTAATGCTTCATTCGCGCTACGGTTTATCGTCTAAAAGACAGACGGTTTGTGTGGTTAAGTGGCAGAAACAAATGGCAGGAACATAATCTTCTGTCTTATTGTTTTGTTAAGTTACTATTGTGTGAACCATTCCGGGATAGGTGTGTAATTAGGTCGTGCGGGTGAAGTTAGAATTACCACGAGGATGATGGTCAATCAGAGATCAAGAAAAACCTACAAAACCTAGATTGATACCAAAGCATATAGGCGGCTAATATCTATGAATGCTTAGTTTTTTAATCAATTTAACGAGGTTTTTCTGAGTTTGGTTTACATATTTTCCCAATATCACTCTTCTAATAAGAAAATATCATGAAATTAAATAGGCCTACACTAGTGAAATTCAGCACAGTAGCATATCCCAATCGTTGCCTCAGGAGGGGCAAAATGCAAGAGAGCTCACGGCAATGTTAACAGATAAGCAAATGGGGTGGTTGCCCCCCCCCCCACCCCCATGCTAAACGATTTTACTCTGCGACTGAGCAGTGACTACATTCAGAATAGTTCGAGCGTTTCAAATAGCAATGTTATCATAATTATCTTAATACAAAATGATCCCAAGACATGCCATGCTACGGCTGAATTTTCTTTCATCTATACAAAAAGCCGTCATGAGGGGCAAACTGCCCCCTAGCCCCTCCTTAAAATACACTAGTGATCCAGCAGCATAATTCATATCGTGATAATGGACCGTAAGAGGTTTTTCCCTGTTTGTAGCCCCATGAACGGTCGTAATGAATTCATTCAGTTCCTCATAGTTTGTCCCACGTGCAAGCTAGATGAGGATCATACTCGGTCATCGGTGAAATGTGGAAGATACAACAAACGCTATTTCCGCTTTTTCTATGCAATTGTTAATTGGAGTTTGCAAAATGTTAATGAACAAATCAGAATCATTGGTGATTCTAGTCTCCATAATCTTTGACAGCCTTTTAGTGAGCTGTTAGAAGCTATTTGAAGCGGGAATTATGTATGGCGTTCTTATGCTTGCGTAAAACATGTATTATTATCGACTTATTCTGCTGAATCAAGGAGAAATTAAACTATAAACTATATATTAATCCTGAGAAGGATTGGGGTTGATTAGCGTAGCCCTTTGCCCCCCCCCCCTCGATCCTTCCCCTTCTCGCTTTCATCCTCCTGATTTGCCTCCGAGTCATTATGGAACGCGGGCAATCCCAGTGGCCGGAAGGGATGCATTCTCAGGGTGTGAGATGAGATGCTTGGTACGGATCACTGCACTGGTACCCCCCCCCCCCCTCCTGACCCCTCGGGGTTCATGACATCATCCTATGCACTCCTAACTCTAATACACGAGAACATGCATGATGTAGCCGCGATTCACATCATACACATGACAGCCCTTCTTTTAAGCAGTCTAATATATTATTAAATCAATGGCGTATCCAGCATTGGATAGAGCCGAAGTATGCCACCCGTATGACCCCCCCCCCCCAAAAAAAAAAAAAAAAAAAAAAAAAAATCTAGAGGAAATACCTCAACTCCAAGTAAACACCCCCCCCCCATCCGATTTAAGAGGGGATTGCGCTCCTCTTGTTGCGTGTGTGAATGAAATGGTGTAATCATGAATTGTAGATTAATGTAGAATCTCGTCGTGCTCAAAATATTTAATCGTTTTGATATGGAATTGACGGTAAATTAGGGAAAGCTTCACAGAAGATTTATCCTAATGGCTAATACATATTCATTTTAATAGCGAGTCGTCACTAAACAACGTCATATCAGAGAGATTACCCGTGTTTGCTTAGTAGAACCTGGATACATGTACGTTTGTAAGCTTTCAAGCTCGTCACTCAAGAGTAGGTTAAGTACGACTCGTACGTGCACGCTCTCAAAACGTCTCTCACGTATATGCATGCCAACGCGATTCGACAGAAGATCATTTTCACCGAATCAATATACACCTGTACCGGACAAATGAGACTTGATAGTTGTTGTTTTGTAGTTACAATAAAAGAAACACAAGTAATTTATGCCAAGGATATAGGCATATCTATTAATAGCACTACCGTCGTATGGCTCAATGATAACAAGCTGTTTCTTCTTCTGCTTCTTCTTCTTGATCGTTAAATAAAATATTTCCTTTAAAAAAATAAAAAATAAATTAACTGAAATTGCATTCTGGAGATGGATTTCAAAAACAGTAAACAAAATTAATAATACTGCTATAAGGCGGATACAAAATCCTACAAACGGTGGACGGAGCGAAATGACTGAAAAAGGCGAAGTTCATGATATATAGGAGGCGTTGTAATTTGTTATGTTTCAGTTGAGGGGGGGGGGTGCTGATTTAATTCCCTACGTGTAGTCGGCCAGGATGTTGTGAAAATAAACTTCATCGAAATACCTGCCGATAAGAAGCGTGGAGGTGTTAAACAGATACATGTATCATCAAACATTGAGTTCACGCCATCTTGGCCCCAAGACACCGCCTTCTACATGACCACATGAGTTTTGACACCTCAAAGATATTTGCAGGGGTAATCAAGACACAGCCACAGGCTCTCTCCAGTCTTATTTCTCGCACAGTATCTGGCGCTAGCTCCTATGCAACTACCTTTCCGAAGGTCAATAAAGAAAAGAATCAATACTACATGTAGAGTTGTATATGGTATTCTAGCAACTTTCAGCTGCCTATGTTGCGATGTTCTTTCTTTCTTCTTCTGGTTTCGTTTCGTCCTTATTGGCGAAAATTTGCAAATCACACGACACGGCCGTTGAAGACGCAACATCCTGTCAAATCTCTCCGATTTGGTCTACGGTTGACGTGCGACTGGTCGTAACGAAGTCGTAGGGCATAGCACATTCTGTGATCCGATCAAAGTTCAGTCGGAACACAGTCGGATCGTACTGTATGCCCCGTGCCTTGCGAGCCATGCGAGTAAATTCCACATAATTATGTACCTCCCCCTATTTCACTGTCTATCAACTTAGTTCGCCACTGGATTCTAACACTGAGACCAGGTTTTCAAGAACGTTGTCGAGAGATGAGCCAATAATGATTTTTTAACAAGAAAGCTGAAAGCTTCAATAAGCAAACCGGGCATAAATATTTTGGCAGTTTCCAAACTCGGATGCTATGGTTTACAAATGAATTTTGCAGATTACATGTACTTCTAAACTGTATTGGCCATTCCACGTGCAACCAACTCCATCATTCCCCTCCGTTCATTTCAAATTTCAACTAAATTACTCGTACCATTTTACCAATTTCTATTTTCCTTTTATTTCTTCACAAGTAGAGTTTTTCCTATTTTCTATACCCCCTTTTCTACAACACACATTTTCTTCCTTCCCCCC